CCTTTACCCCTCTTCTCTTCTCCGCACCCCCCCCCCCATAACCCGCTAAATAAACTCTACCCAACCTCTCTCTCCCACCAGCAAGGGGATCCGCAGGGCCTCGGGTTACCCCGTTCTAGGCAAACTCTCAACCACTCAGGTTTATTCCCACCCCAGGATGCCTGTTCTAAGAATACAAAATGCTTGTGAAACACAACAGCTAATACACTATAATCATCCAATTTTTATAAAGCACCATGAAGGTCTAGAGTGTATTAGTAAATTAGATAAAGCACAGCAATAGCCAATTCCATTAAACACCACATTGATGTACACAGAAAGACAAGAGGACTAAAGTGAACGTCTGGGACTCCAGACCCAAAGAAAGCCCGAGGTTGGGCAGGACTAGGCAGACCCAGGGCCAACAAGGCCAAGAGAGAAGAGGGTTAACGCTGGCACTGGTGGGATCGTCCAGGGAGGAAGGGTGAAAGTGGAAGAAAATCAAGAGAAAGACTACGGAATATACAGTATTGAGTACCAAGAAAAAAGAAGTGGGAAGCTACTACCACGGCTTACGCTATCCAACTTTAATTCCAACCAAGCTTTTCTTCCTGAAGCTGCTATTAAGGCAGGGTCTGTTTTAAAATAAAAGTGCCATGACTGACCTATGAAGTCCCTTACCCTAGAATGGGTGTCACTAAAATATGTCGTTTTGTTCATTAAAGGGCATTTAATCCAATAACATATAAAGCATCTTTCACACATGTACTTAAGTTAAAAACTTTAACTATAAAAATAATTTGAACAAATAGGAGGCATAGCATTGTAAAGACACCCATGCTAAAAATCAGTCTATTAAATTAATCTAGCCATGATGTTGAATTGAAATACAATTTCAGTCCAGGATCTTTATTTTCACTGTGGAGAATTTGTTCTTTGAATTTTTTGCCTTGTTTTTTTGGGATCACCTTATTATGCAACATCTGCTCTTGAATTTCCACTGTGATAAACAGTGTGAGCGCTGGCGGCAGATGGCTAATGACCAGCAGTGACAGGGTATTCAAGCCTGCCTTGTTTTCTGAGAAGCGATATTTTCATGTTAATTTGTTCTGTGTTCAGCAAAGATAGGACAAATCACCTGCTGTAATTCAGGCAAAGCAGAGACCACCAGGAGCTGCAAGGGGCCAGGGTTTGGTTCCTTTAAGAGCAGAAGAGGAAGAGCTGGGAGACTTTCACTTGCAGCACAGGGGACCAGTCACTTTGCATTATGTCAAGCAGACAAGGATGAATCAGCTTAGGGCATTCCATTCCGACATCAGGCACTGCTTAATACAAGCAGATATTTGTCACGAAAACAGATTATTTCCCAGAGGCAGAAAGCAGGAGTTATCAAGAGTGTGTGTTGGTCTCTGAAGTCTGGGTTTTGTAAAATAAACCTAATAGTATATTTTATCTCTTATTGAAAACAGCAAAACCAACAGAAGCTCCAAAAACCATCTAATTGAAGATAAAAGGAAATCCAATTCACTGAGAAAATTACCCACACAGACATAAACCTTGAGCTTTTTTCTCTCTCTCTCCGGTTCCATAGAATTCATTTATCATAGGGATACATGGACATAATTTTTATCCTGCAACTCCGTGAGGCCATATGGTCTTGAGGGCGAAGAACCTGGTCCTGTTTTAGAGAAGCTACTGATCTGTGTGTTTCTTCTCCGCTTTATTCTCATGAAATGATACCGTCTGTTTCATTAAATATGTTGTACTGGCAGAATGTCCAAGGAATAACATTAGGTAACCTAAGTGAGTTGAAGACGCTGGGCCAGACCCTAGAAAAGCTGATCTGCTGGCGAGTGCCAGCACACAAGACGGGGTTCAGTGCAAGAAGACAGGCACCCAGTTCTGCTCTGGGAAGGAATCCCTCCCTCATAGAGGACTCTCTCCTCGGTACTCTGCCATATGGCTCCCTCTACTCCAGACGACTGAGAAATATGGAGAATGAACTTGCCGACACCACTTTCACCCCTGCAGCAGATGGATGCATGAAGATGAAAAGTAAAGGTGGAAACTCAACTCCACAAACAGACTCGAAGACGATAGTCTGAATTAGAAAGAGGAAAGCCAGCTATGCCAACAAAGTCACATCAAGCTACTTGTTGGTTTCACAGTAGAGTGGTCAACAAGCTTTCTATGCAAATGTCATCATCAAACAAGAATCGGTTGACCTAAAGACCAACACAACACCTTCAAGGTGAGGTTTACACATCTAGAACATTTTACCTAGAAATTTACTTTGAAAATGTTGGAAAAAGCAGTGTCTTATAGTTTTTTTTATGATGATGATGATGATGATGTCTAGATCACAAAGTCCCCCCAAAACCAACTAGGAGACCAGGCCCTGTATTAAAAGCAAAGAGCTTTTATTCTTAAACAAGTTTGCAAACTTAGCTTCTCCGTGTGTACCCAATGTACTGGAGTGATCAGAGGGCCCCCAACTCAGTTAGAGTTGGGTTTTTATAGTAGCAAAGGTGGGGGTGAGGGATTTCTAAGGTCTGGGATCCCTGATTGGCTGAGATTTGTCTAGGGGTGTCCTGGTGAGTGTGCTGGCAGGTGATCCCATCTATAATGGTTGGAACATTAGCAATTTCCTTTGGATGGTCTGCTCCTGAGCCGTACCTGGGTGGACTCAGTTTGTGGTCTTTGTCAGAACCAGGTGTTGCCTCAGAGTAAACCACTGAGACTCAGGCCTCTACTGAGCTTGTCCTGACCGGGTCCTACAATTATTATTATCACTATCATTATTATTACAGCTTCTCAGAGGTGATCTTCAGCCCAGGCACAGCCAGGGACTTCCTTTATTCAAGGCTGATGGGAAAACCATGCAGTAATAGAAGCATGTCCCCTACAAACGGACCCAAGTATCAACCTGAACAACTACGTAAAGCTTCATGATTTTTTGTTTTTTCAAAACAAACGTTACTCGATTATCCAAAAAACTGTTCTCTGAGAGGTATTTGTTATCTCACGAAGATGTTGAATAAATGATAAAGATTTTATCCCTGTCCAGACATGACGAAATATTCTAGTTCTATCCAGTCCTGCCATCCTATTACAATTAGTACCCCAATAAGCACTGGAATATTTTTATTATAGGTGGCAAACTAACAGGTGAACAGGGCCAAGAGAGCATCACACACATCTGGGCAAACTTAGAGAGGACTGACTGTGAGAACACATCACACACATCTGGGCAGACTTAGAGAGGACTGTGAGAACACATCATACACATCTGGGCAGACTTAGAGAGGACTGTAGAGCACATCACACACATCTGGGCAGACTTAGAGAGGACTGTAGAGCACAACACACACATCTGGGCAGACTTAGAGAGGACTGTAGAGCACAACACACACATCTGGGCAGACTTAGAGAGGACTGTAGAGCACATCACACACATCTGGGCAGACTTAGAGAGGACTGTAGAGCACATCACACACATCTGGGCAGACTTAGAGAGGACTGTAGAGCACATCACACACATCTGGGCAGACTTAGAGAGGACTGTAGAGCACATCACACACATCTGGGCAGACTTAGAGAGGACTGACTGTGAGAACACATCACACACATCTGGGCAGACGTAGCGAGGACTAACTGTAGGGCACATCACACACATCTGGGCAGACTTAGAGAGGACTGTAGAGCACATCACACACATCTGGGCAGACTTAGAGAGGACTGTAGAGCACATCACACACATCTGGGCAGACTTAGAGAGGACTGACTGTGAGAACACATCACACACATCTGGGCAGACGTAGCGAGGACTAACTGTAGGGCACATCACACACATCTGGGCAGACTTAGAGAGGACTGTGAGAAGCTCCACGAGGGCCGCTTAGGTCAGAAGTCAGACCACATAAAAACCTGCCAACTGTTCAATGCAGTCAGGAGACAGTGAGCAGAAAGGACTAAGACCCTGCTCTATAGGCACAATATGGAGTTTCTGGACCAAGAGCACAAAGAAAAGAAATGAAATCACAGGAGTGGAAGATAATGCCAGAGGAAGAGGGTGCAGAGTGAAGAGAATAAGTGATCAGAAATCCTGCATGCTGAGGGCTTTCCTGGCCTTCAAACTGCACAAATAAACGAAACTACCACTATTTATCTCACTCTTTAATGAAAGCTAGATGGGAGAAAACTGCACTCCTACTAGCCCGACCCCAAACAGACATTTATTATGTTGCAGTTAGAATGCATCAGTATCAGGGGACACCAACTAGCCATCACTCAAAGGACATTTCTTACTCTGTGGGGACAGCCACAGATTTAAGAGATGGACCAGAAAATGAAGTTAAGCAGAATAACAGGCTAGACCATCAAAACATCTTGAGCAGCTTTTCCATCAGTCTTAAAGGAAGAATTTGTTCGTAGTAAATATACTTCCTAGCTTGTTGATCATGAAGGGCAGAAAGCATCTTTAATTATCTTTGAATACCAAGATTACTACTTGCCATTTAGACTAAAAAACAAACAACCCCCCCTCCCGATGAATTGGAAAAAACAAAACAAACAAACAGAAAGGGTCAAATGAATATGTCTGAGAATCAGCATAAAATTATAATGCATAATATACCTTTGATTGACATCTAAAAATTTATCTCTTAAAGAACAAGAACACCAGGATAAACTGAGTGACATCTGTTATACCATACTTTATAAGATTAGGGAGATAATACACAAATAAGTAGTTTTAAAGAATTTTAATGTGCATTAAAACTAAAGTTTTTATTTTAATTCACCCTACAATTAAACTGGACTGCGATCCTATTCTTTGAAGATACTTAGTAGATGGACTAGATGATTTTCAATTTTTTGACAATTTTATTTAGTTGACATTCTGAACTGTATATTAAGTTTCAAAAACACCAATTCTGGCAATTTTCACACGAAAGAATGCTGGTGTTGAGTAAGCTGCGAAGGTGGCTAGTCTACTCAGACAAAAGGATGATGCTTGGTACCTTTATGGTTTCTGTGGGCACTCCAGGCTCCGGAACTTTATCCAAGTAGGTGGTCAAGTCTTGATCAACGTGCTCAAACACTAGTGTTAGTTTGGTTTCTCTGTCTGTTCGTGACACAGTGCACACATCAAACAACCTAGAAGGGGGAACCAACAAGAATGAGTAGATTGTAAATGATATCCACTTTCCGTGTACCCCTCAATGCTATCATAAAGTTGAGGGCCTAATGGGATCTGCTGGTTTCATAACCATCTCAAAGCTCAGCAGAGGAACGGTGAAATCCAGACTGCCCAAGTATCAGTCACAGAGCAGCATGACTGGAGATTAAACATAAATGCCCAGAGTATCTTAACTAACTAAATGGTTATAGAGAATTTGTGGATGGACATGGCTTGAAAAACTTGCGACCAGACAGAAATAATTCTGACAATGCTTAGCTCACAAGCTGAGAAATAAAGTGTTCTCTGGACATAGTGGACTCTGCAAAGCTTCCAAGAACAGCCATGGCTGTTAGAGCAACTATGATGGACTACGGAGAAACATTTCAAAGACAGACTTCTCATCCTGGTCAGACAAACTATTGCCCTAGGAATAGTATAAACTCTCAATTAGTTTTAATTCCAACTCTCATCTAGAATCACACTGTAAACAACTAAGCTTTTATTATTTGTTTTAAACAGCTGACAGAAAATAATGTATTCTCAGGATGGCATGCAGTGTTTTGTGTTTTGATTCACTAGAAAACTGTTGTACAGAATAGGAACTATAACAAATAAAATGCTATATAGACTCCAAAAGTGGCCAAAGTATGAATTCCAAATGTTTATACAAATCATAAAAAACAGACTACGCATACGATAAGATGGTTCTGCTACATAACTTGATTATCAGGCGAACACTGCGAAACTGAAAGAGATACACTGGAAAAGTAATAAAGACCCAGATAAAGAAAGAGCACAGAAAGAGCCTTCTCTGATCCAGAGAACCGCCAGGGCCAAGGGCAGAAAGCCCTTTAATTGAGCACTGTCTTGTGCACTACAGTCCCACCAAGCTATCTGAAGAGTTAAGCCAGCATTAACTAAGATGTATGGGAACTTCTTTCATATTATGTTTTCTTTTACAAACTGAAAAACCTGTTCTAGAAATTGTTTACTGGGTACATTGCCTTGGTTCAATCTGAATGTCACTTCTATTAAATTTACAAGGCCTAATTGGTTTACCGGGTCACACTACTGTATTTTTGGGGTACATGGGCTTCAAATTTGGTACGTCTTTCTGGATCTATCTTAAATTTTAGCATCTACAGAACACTGTCATCAGTCTCAATTTATAATAAACTAGGAAACCCACGCTATGGGAGCCTTGGGAGTCTATCAAAACAGCTCTATGAACCTGACTGACCGTTTGTACGTAAGCAGCTATTAACCACCTCTCTCAACTACTTCTTCTCAAAGGAAAGAAAAGAGTTGCAAAATCAGCAAGCTTCTCTGTACCTGATGCTTCTATCTTTGCAACAAAACTACAACGAACCCAAAGTGGGATGTAATGAAATCAAATACAAACACTGTAGCCAGGCCATTACAGCCAGGTTTCCCAAGCCTCACTCTAGATAATGACGCCCATTAGCACTAAGACATTCCTTAATAAAAAGTGTGCTGGTCGTCACTTGCTGGAGTTAGTGAGCAGCTCCAGTTTAAGAACCCCCGCCCCGAGTGTGTCTGCTATTATTTTTCAGAAGAAGAAAAATACGTGACGGGGACATAACACAGTTGAGCCAAAAGGTCACCTGCTCCCCAAACCGTTGTCTTGAAATTGCCTAACAGCTCTGGCACTATGCAACATTGCTCAATCACACTGAAACCGTTTCCAAGACTTGTACGACACAATTCATGAACAGCATCTAACCACCCAAGCTGCTTTTCATTATATAATACCTTGTTCTTCAAAATATTAATATACGCCAACTTTACCTAAGGTCCCTCGGCTTCATACTAGGGATGCAGAAGAAGATAGGTAAAGTTGAGCTTTAAGAAGCCATTGCTGATTGCCTTAAATAAGTATAGGAAATTTTTTTAAAAAGTGGAATGAATTTAAACAGTTGTGTGACAATGCATACAGCAAAGTATTATTTTTAGTTCATGTATAAGTATTTTGCCTGCATGTACGTGCCTATGATGTGTGTATTTGGTGCCTTTGGAGGTAGAGGGCTCGGATTCCCTAAAACAGGAATTACAGATGGCTGTGAGCCGGCTTATAGGTGCTAGGAACTGAACTCATGTCCTCTCCAAGAGCAGCAAATGCTCTGACTGCTAAGCCATCTCTCCAGCCTCTGTATGGATATTTATGCATGTACTTAGATATTGTGAGCTATAAAACCAGGTGCTCTGTAGAAGCTGCTCATCCAGGTTCAAGGAGACACTACCCTCAAACTTTAGGTGTGTTAACTCAGAAAGTAGAGGATCACAATCCCCTCAGAGATAATCAATAGGCTCCTCCCTCCCAGGTGTCACTGCTAGCTGTCAGCAGCTTATAGATTGGTGGTTCTCAACCGGTGGGTTGCAACCCTGGGGTGGCACATCAGATATCCGGTTTATCAGATAGTTACAACTCATAACACTGTCAAAATTACAATTATGAAGTAGCAATGAAGATAATGTTATGAAGAACTGAGGAAGTTGAGAACCACTGGCATAGTCGGACCACTTCAAAGACGACGTTTAGAAAAGTACTACTCTTCACTAGAACATAAAGCTGCTCTAACTGTTCAGTAAACATTATACTACAAGTTAATAGTTGCATTAATCGTAATGGATAGAAAACACATTTCCAGCCAACAGGTGTGGATATTAATTCTAGAAATTCTAGAACATAATCCCTAGTGCCTGGTTTCTTGCTAATCCCATCATGCCACTCTTGGGCATATACCCAAAAGATGCACACTCATACTAGAAGGACATGTGCTCAACTATGCTCATAGCAGCGTTATTTATAATAGCCAGACCCTAGAAACAACTTAGATGTCCCTAAACCAAAGACAAAGAAAATAAAGAAAATGTGGTACAAATACACAATGGAGTGCTACTCAGTGGTAGAAAACAATGACATCTTGAAATTTGCAGGCAAATGGATGTATCTAGAAAAAAAACCATCCTGAGTGAGGTAACCCAGACCCAGAAAGACAAACATGGTATGTACTCACTCATAACTGGGTATCAGACATAAAGCAAAGAATGACCAGCCTACAGTCTACAACCCCAGAGAAGCCAGGAAACAAGGAGGACCATAAGAGACACATACATGGATCATCCCCATCCCCACCCCCGCCAGGAAGGGGAAGTAGACAAGATCTCCTTAGAAAACTGGCAGTGTGAAGGGAGGAGGGAGGACTGTAGGGGAGTTAGGAGGGGGGAAGGGGAGCAGAGGAGAACATGAGGGATCAGAAGGTCAAGTTGGGGTAAAGGACAGAGAGGAACAGCAAAGAAAGAGATACCTTGAGAGAAGGTATACTTTTTTAAGAGCAGACATAAGAAGAGGCTCTCAGTATGTATTGAGGCTATGCATCCAGTTTAGGAGACTGAACACAATCCAAAATATAGGTTGTTATAATTTCATGGTGAAGCTAGCTAACCGCTAACTATTCCCTCAAATGAGCTAGCTACCTTTCTTGCCGTCTCCAGGGTCCTGACCTCCAGCTGCAGGGCAGACAACAAGCAGAGTCCAGTACAACACTCAGTTTTCCTGCTGTCCTATGATGTAATCATCTAACAAAACATTCCCTGAATTAACTTTACATCCTATCCATTGTAATTCTTAATGGCTGCTTCCCGGTCACCCTTCTCAATTTAACTTGCTGCTCAGAACCTACTGTGCAGGCAAGCTGCCTTCAGCTATTGGATGGGATTGCATCCAGTAGTTTTGGGATTTCCAAAGTTTACAATTCACAGATGTCTCCCAAACAACGAGCCGTGTCAACACAACCGCTGCGTTTCTATTGTGGTTATAATAAAAGGGAAATCTGTATTATTTGCTGGGATTATACCATGACCCAAAGCAGGAAGTTCTAAGAGGACTTTTTTCCTGTCAGGTTTTCCTGACTTCTCACACTCTTCATTGTTTGGACAGCAAATAGTTCTAGAGCTGAGCACTGGCACGGCTGCCTAAGGGACATAACAAATTCATAATAAACTAGAGCACAGGCTCCCCACCCCACCCCCCGTTTCTAATTGTAGAACTCCATGAAGTGCATGTGGTGGGCACGGCTGGTGAACCAAACGAAGGTTCACTCCTCTCACGAGCCGCACACTGCGGGACAGTGACTACGTGGCTCTTTCTGCTCCAGAAGTACAGACTAGGTATGCCAGGGCTCATCGTGAGCACAAAATGACAAACTCCAGAAGTATTTGCCACGGACAGCAAAGAACACGCTGCTGAAGGGGGCGGCGATTCTGCAGGGTCTCTAGACGAGCACTAGCACTTACCACACGCAGGTGCCACACTCAGTCTGAAGTTCCTGACAGATGTGGGGCAGGGAAAGCATGCGAAAAATATGTCCAGAGACGATTAGTCAGAGGGATTGACAGAAGCCTGAGAATTGGTCCCAGGAAGAACCAAGAGCCTGCACCAGCTGGGGGCTGCCCTCGCCACTTTAGTCCACCTATCACGGGATGGTTTCGGGGGGGGGGGGGGACCTTTTCAAAGCACTTGCTGAAGCCTATTCTGTCCGATCTACTTTCTGCATTTAGAAAAGTTACCTGGGCTAGCAAAGTCACATTTCTGAATGTGAATTGGGATTTTATTACTTACAGAAAAAAAAATAAAGCTCTAACCTATGGCAGATCATGCACGGGGCTCACACACAGAGACCCACCTGAAACAATGCACAATAAGTCATGGTATGTCTAAAGGAAATAGTCATGAGACATCTAAAACTATGCTGAAATCACTAACTTCAACAGGTCTACGGAGGACGGTAAGTGCCTTCCATACAGTAAACAAGGTGAGTGACGTCCACACGCGGAAGCCGTGTCAGTGTCTGCTAAGTCACAGCTCCCGACACAGTCGCAACTCCACTTGGAGACGGGGAGCTGAATAATGGGCTGGCAGAGTATGCGGCAACAGAAAAGCTTTCCGAACATA